AAACTGAGCAAAACTTTCAACAGTCTTCTCAGGCTAAGTGAACTAAAATTGGAGATCAGAGTCTGCTGAGGAAGAGGGTCCCCGGTAGACACTCCATACTTTCAGCTGGCACCACTTAAGGACTCCACCCTAGAAGGGCGGGCTTACCAGCAAAAGAACATCACTTGCAAAGGTTGAAGCCCAGCTTCCAGTCAACTCGTCTCAAAGTGGGCTAAAGTAATTTTCCTTGTAGCATCACCTGAGCACTAACTAGAAATGCAAATTCTCAGACTCCACCCCAGATCTGCTGAATTAGGACCTCTGCAGGTGAAACATAGCACTCTGCATTTCACAAGCCTTCCAGTTCTGGTCCAAATGAAAGATAACTTCTTCCTTTGCCTGACTGCCAAAAGGAAAATAATATTCTCTGTGGAGCATGACAACATCATCGAGAGCCTTAAGTTTCTCTACCATTTTTAATTTTCCAATGAAACAACTAGAACAGGAATAATGAAAATATTGACAACCCTGTTCAGAATATAACCATTGTCACAGATCATTATGTCTAGATATTGTGGAATGGAACCAGGTTTTGCTGTATTTTCACCAAAAAGAAAATAAAATTTCAAAAATATCTGGCATTAATTCAACTATTACCAGACATAGCAAGAAATAAGATAGATGTACCAAATATCAAGAGAGTAAACAGACAATAAAAACATTCAGATATTGTATCAGACATGGAATTTAAAATGATATGGTTACTATATGTTCAAGAAAATAGAAAAGAAGATGGAGAATTTCACCAGAGAACTGCAATCTTTCAAAAGGGTCAAATGGAAATTTTAGAGGTGAAAAATAAAACCACTGAAATTAGGAAACTCAGTGGGTGAATTTACAGTAAACCAACTGAAAAGAGGATGGGTGTATTGAAAGATTGTACGGTAGGAAATATCCAAAATAAAACCCAGACAAAAAAAGATGGGAAATACAGGAAAAAACATGATAAACAAATGGGATATGCCCAATAAGGTGTAACATAAGTATAATTGTTGTTCTGAAAGAAGAGAGGAACTAGCTCTCTGCTTTTTTTTGGGAAGCATCATATTTACTTGAAGAATGATTGATTGATAGTCAAACTATGGCTGATTCAGACTTTAGGATTTGGTGACATTTTCTTGAAAATGAGTAAAGTGAACAATGAAAATGAACAAAACAACTGCCAAGATTTCTTGCCCTTAAAATATTTAAACTTACAAGTGAAAATGAGAATTTTGGAAAATTTGTATTTGCCTCTGAAAGTGAAATTGTTAACAGCTTCCCAATATGTAAAGACCATTCTAAGACTGATGATTTAAAGGATGTGATTTTTAAAACTTACTGTTTTTTGTATTATTATTATTATTATTTATTGGGATTTGGGTGAAGATTTACAGAGCAAATTCACTTTCCATACAGCAGTTCACATATACTTTGTCTCATGTCGTTGACCACAGTTTACCACAATGCAACAGCTCCCCTCCTACTTCCTCCCCATAGTTACCACTTCCCAGTGTCCATGATTTTTTAAAATTATTATTGCATAATGAAATGTTTCAGCATTTGGAAGATCTGCCTAACTTGGTGCACCAATATTTTCTAAATGACCAGTGCACAATATTATGTTATGCATGGATGAGAAGATTCATTCAAAGTGCAAGACATACCAATGGATTTTCACGTAGGAAAGTACCAAAAGTCTGTTAATATACTTTAAGATTCCACACTGCAATTACCCTTTATGAAACTGCCACTTGTGTTTTGGTACAGTATCAAAAAATAATATCCATAATTATCTGAAAAGGCTGTTATAACACTCCTCTTTTCCAACTACATGTTTGCATGAGGCTGGATATTCTTTATATATTTCAACCAAAACAACATATAGTAGCATATCTCACGCAGAAGCAGATAAAAGAATCCAGTTATTTTCGATTAAGCCAGATGTTAAAGAAATTTGCAAAAAAGAAAACAATGCCACTCTTCTTAGTAATTTTCTTCTTTAAGAAAATAGGTTTTGTGAAAATATTTATGTTATCATGTAATGAGGTTATTATTTTTAAATAACAATTTCTAATAAGGTAAATATTGACAGATATGTTCCCACATTAAAAAAAAGTTTGAGTACTGTTTTGATTACCTAGTGTCGCTCTGCCAAGAATGTATCACAGATTGGATGGCCTTAACAAACAGGAGTTTATTCTCTTACAGTTTGGAGGTTTTAAGTCCGAGTTCAAAGTGTCAGGCCCTAGCAGCTGGGTAAAAGCCTCTCAGCCTTGGGCTTCAGCTCTGCTTCCTGCTCTTGGCCCACTGAAGCTAGAGGCTTTTCTTTACTCAGACAGCTACTAGCTGCTGAGGCTGACAAGCCCAAGGTTGACAAGTAAAAAGGCACAGTTACCAAACCACATGGCAGGCCATTCATTCAAGTCCATTGAAAGTCCCAAGGTCGGCAGACCATGGCAGGCTGCTGACCAATGATATGGCTACATGCAGGGTTTAAGTGTGCCATAAGCCAGAGACCATTCCCCAAGTCTTCTGCTTATATACAGGAAGCAGACCACATCCCTAACGCAGCTGCCCAGCTGTTCACAGTAGATTCCACCATGGCATTGATTACCAGTCTCATCATGGGGAATACTACATCCAGCTGCCCAGCCACCCAACCAGGGCCAACCAAGTTGACACATAAACTTAACTACCACAGATACTCAATAATTTTTAAGAGTGTTAACAAAACAAAACAAAACCCACTGCCATTGGGTCAATTCCAACTCATAGCAACCCTGTAAGAAGGAGTAGAACTACCCCATAGGCTTTCCAAGACTGTAAGTCTTTATAGAAGCAGACTGCCTTGTCTTTCTCCATTGATTCAAACTACCAACCTTTTGGTTAGCAGATTAATACTTTAACCACTGCACCACCAGAGCTCCTTTAAGAGTGTTAAAAGGTATAGATATTAAAATGACACATTTAAAGCTATTATGAAGATATTATGAACAATTTTATGTCACTAAATGTGAAAATATAGGTAAAATGGAAAATTTTTTGAAAAACATTACCAAAACAGAATATCTGAATAGGCCTAAATCATTAAAGAAATTGAGTCCATTATTTAAAATGTTCCTACAAAGAACACTTTAAACCCAGATGGCTTCATTGGTGAATTCTTCCAGTCATTTAAGGGGGACATAACTCCAATCTTATACATATTCCTCCATGAAATAGACAAGGACTGAACACCTTTGATTCCATCATAACCTTAATTCCCAAACCTGGACAGGCTGTTGTTGTTAGTTTCCATCAGTCAACTCTGACTCATGGTAATGTTATGCCCAGTTCTGCACTGTCTTCATGATCTTTGATATGTTTGAGCCCATTGTTTTGGCTATTACGTCAGTCCAGCTCATCAAGGTTTCCCTTACTTTCACTGACTCTCTGTTTTATCAAACATGAACCTCCCAAGTTGGAATCAATTCAAAATACTACTGGGGAAGAGCTGCCTTCTCCAAGGAGAGTTAACTTTAATGATGTAGGTGAAGTAAAGCCTTTGGGACCTTCATTTGCTTCATTTGCTGACATGGTACAACTCCAAATCTATTAGTCATAGGAATGTGGAATGTATAAAGTATGAAACAAGGAAAATTTCAAGTCATCAAAAATGAAGTGGAATGCTTGAAAATGGAAATCCTAGGCATTTGTTGTTGTGTGCCGTCAGGTCAATTACAGCTCATAGCAACCCTATAGGACAGAATAGGATAGAATAGAACTGCCCTGCAGGATTTCCTAGGCTGTAATCTCTATTTAGGCAGATCACTAGGTCTTGAAGCAGCTGGTGGGTTCAACCCCCAACTTTTCAGTTAGCAGCTGAGTACTAACCCAGTGTACCACCAGGGCTCCTTTCTTAGGCATTAGCTGAAGTGAACTGGTATTGGCCATCTTGAATCTGACAGTCATGTGGCTGGAACAACAAACTGGAGAAGAACAGAGTTGCATTCATCATTGAAAAAACATTTTGAGATCTATCCTGAAATTCAGTGTACTCAATGATAGGTTAATATCTATACGCTTTCAAGAAGACCAGTTAATATGATTATTTGAATTTTACACACCAACCACAAATGCCAAAGTTGAAGAAGTTGATGTTTACAACTTGCCTGCACCTGAAATTGATCAAATGTACAGTCAAGATGCATTGCTAATTACTGATGATTGGAATTGAGAGAGTTAGCCAAGATATTACAGGAAAGGAAATGTACAGGCCATGGATACAAAAATCCTAATCTAAACAATTAGTGAATTTATATATAAAAGATGATACATCATGACCAAGTTCAGATAATTCAGTATTGTTTTATCATTCAAAAATCAATTAATTTGATTAACTATATTAATATTAAAAAGGAATGAAAATAATCTCAATATTGGAGGGAAACATATGTATTAAAGTTCAGCACACACTAATGATTTAAAAACAACAACAACAAAAATAAAACCCTCTTAGCATGCTAGGAATGGAAGAGTATTTATTTGTTGAGGATATCTACAGAAATGTTACAGCAGGCATGGCACTTAATGGAAAAAGCTGAAAGCTTTCTCTGAAAGCAGGAACTAAGCATGGAAACTATCATCACTCCTTTACTACATGTCCTAGAAGTTCCAGCCAAAGCATTAAAGCAAGAAAAAACATCAGATAATAAGGATAGGGAAAGAGGAAATAAAATTCTGATTCATGTGTGTGTGTGTGTATGTGTGTGTGTGTATGAGTATATGATAAGATTCTGAATGAACAGTAAGTAAAACATTTATAAATAATCTTTTGGATTATGTCATTTTTACTGGTATCTGATGGCATTCTTATCATTTTGATTCTGCCTGAGTTCATTCCTAGAGTGTAGAAATCATTTTAGTTTCTAGAAGCACCTTGTCATTTCCCAGGTACATATAGCAAAGCATCTTATCTCTGCTGTTTTCTTTCTCTGCAGGTCATATCTGACTCCTGTAAGGGATGAAGAAGCAGAGTCTTTACGGAAAGCACGCTCTAGACAAGCTCGGCAGACCCGAAGGTCTACTCAAGTGAGTGGAACTGTCTACCTCTACATTGGGAAAAACAGTTTAAAAAAAAAAAAAAGGAAAATGAGTGCCTTGATCCAGCCACTATGTTTTAAGGGCTTTCACCTATATTAAATCTTAAGCTATATAGGATCAAATGAATTTATAGCTGTACCACCCACTCTCACCTCTATTCCTCCAGGGTCAAGGAAGGTTTATCTCCTTCACAAAACAACTGGTCCATTTGTATTTAAAGGATCACATCTTGAGAATCCCTAAGGGATGGTGCAACCACTTTGGAAGACACTTTGGCAGTTCCTCAAAATGTTAAATCTAGAGTTACTATATCAGCCAGCAGTTCCACTTCTAGTTATATATACCCAGGAGAAATAAAACTATATGTCTACGCAAAAACTTGTACATGGATGTTTACAAAAGCATTATTCACAGTAGCCAAAAAGTGGGAACAACCCAATGTCCATTAACTCATGATAGATAAACAAAATGTTTATATTCATACAATGGAATATTACTCAGCAATAAAAAAGAATGAAATACTGATACATGTTATAACATAGATGAAAACATGCTAAGTGAAAGAAGTCAGTCACAAAAGACCACATACTGTATGACTTCATTTATATGAAATGTCCAAAATAGGCAAATCCATAGTGGTTGCCAGAGACTAGAGGGATGGAGGAATGGGCAGTGACTGCTAATGGGATAATAAAATATTCTGAAATTAGATAGTGGTGATGGTTGTTCATCTTGTGAATATTACTCAAAATCATTGTATTGTATACTTGAAAGTGGTAAATTTTATGATATGTGGATTATATCTAAATAAAAATATCACTTAAAAATAAAAAGACTCCCTGAGGAAGCCATTCAAGCAGTTTAAGGAAGGGTGTGATACAATCTACATTATATTTTCTAAAAATCACCGTGCAAAGAATTGGTGGGAGTGCTAGGCAGAAGGATGGTTGTCAAGCCTGGAAGCAAGAAGTTCTGTTAGTAAGCTGTTATAGTAGTCCAAGCAGGAGATGACAGAGATGTGAACTCAGGTTGTAATGGCAATGAGAATGGAGGAAGCTATGAATTAGAGTTATTTAAGGAGATGTAAGGGAAGATGAGCCAATGAGTCAGAAGAAAAGGAGCAATCAGAGAAGTGAAAAGAAAACCATGAAATAGAAACATAGGAGTGAATTAGAAGTCAGTTTACAGTGAGGAGGAGTTCATCAGTTTTAAATGCTACAAAAGTCAGATAGGAAACCTGAGGACTGAAGCTAAGAATAGAAAAAGAGACATTATTCATAGCTGCAAAGAGTCTTTATTGACAGTATTAGTAGAGTGATGGGGCTAGAAGCCAAACTGTTAAACGCTTCCCTGACTTTCTGTTATGAAGTGCTCTCCTGATTTTCCTTCCCTCTGGTTACTTGTTCTTTCTCCTCCGCTGGCCATCCTCTATTCATCCATAACTATAGGAGGTCCTCAAGACTTGGTCCTCAGTTCATGTCTCTTCTTGCTTTATATTCCCAGGCAATCTAATCCTAATCAGTCTAATTTAGTATTTATACTTAGCTCATGGTTTCCCTTAAAGCATACTCTCTTCCACTGTACTTTGTGTTAGTGAAGGGAATCACCATCTATCTAGTCCACAAGTGTGAAACCTAGAAATCATCCTCAACATCTCTTCTTCCTTCATTATCCATTTATCTATTCCATCACCAGTTTTACTTCTTAAATTTCTTTTAAATTTCTTTACTGCTTCCACCTTACCTCCCTTAACTAAGTTACCATTATCTTTTAGTTCATTTAAGACTAGTCCTCTTGTATCTGTTTTCATGTATCCTTCCTCTATTTTTCTTCTTTTAGAATAATTTTGTATCCTGTAATAACAATAATCTATGAGTGAACACATAGCTAGATACTCATACTGAACAAGGGTGGGAAGGCAAATGGGAGTATACCCACAAATATATATATAGGTTTGACATAGGTTATGTTCTGGTTACCTAGTACCGCTCTGACAAGAATATACCACATATGGGATGACCTTAACAAACAGGAGTTTATTCTTACAATTTGGAGGCTTTAAGCCCAAGTTCAAAGTGCCAGGCTCTAGGGGCTGGGTGAAAGCCTCTCAACCTTGGGGTCCAACTCTGCCTCCTGCTCCTGGCCCACAGAAGCTAGAGGCGTTTCTTCACTCAGACAGCTGCTGGCTGCTGAGGCTGAGAAGCCTCAAGGTTGACAAGGAAAAAGGCACAGTCCCGATGTTACCAAACCACATGGCAGGCCATAACTTAAGTCCATTGTAAGTCCCAAGGTCAGCAGAGCATGGCAGGTTGCTGAGCAACGACACAGCTACATGCAGGGTCCAAGCGTGCCATAGGCTAGAGACCATTCTCAAAGCTTCTGCTTATATACAGGAAGCAGACCACATACCCAAAGGCAGCTACCCAGCTGCTCATGGTAGATCCCACCATGGAGCTGATTGCCAGCCTCCTCATGGGGATTAACTACCACCAGCTGCCCAGCCACTCAACCAGGCCCAGCCAAGTTGATACACAAACCAAACTACCACAGGGTATTTCTACATATGTATTTTATGTACTGCAAATAAATCCATGAATATAGTAGAGTGTACAAAAACCAAACTCATTGCCATCAGGTCGGATCTGACCCATAGCAAACCCTCCTTGGGTTTCTGAGGCGGTATCACTATGGAAGTAGATTGCCCAACGTTCCTTCTGAGGAGTGGCTGGTGGGTTTGAACCTCCAGCCTTCTAGTTAGCAGTCAAGTGCCTTAGGCACTACACCACCAGAGCTCCTATAGTAGAGCATATAAGGGGCAAAGTTATGAAAACTTCTTACCCATAGCCAAATACCTTGAGGAAATGAGTTGCTGGGCCTGGATGCTCAGGAGCATAGTCTTGATGGACACTAAGGTCAATTGGCATAACATAGTCCAAGAAGACAGTGTTCTACATCCCACTTTGGTGAGTAGCAGGTGGGGTCTTAAAAGTTTATGTCATCTAAGGTGCAACTATTAGTCTCTCCCCACCCAGAGCAAAGAAAATAAAAAAGCACAAGGAAACAATTAGTCCAAAGGACTCATGGCCCACGTGAACCCCAGCCTCCATGACCCTGAGACCAGAAGAACTAGATCGTGCCCAGCTACTACTGCTGACTACTCTGAAAGAGATCACAATAGGGGGTCCCAGATACGTAGAACAAAACTCAAAATCATAAAAAAAAAAAAAAAAAAAGACAAGGCTTACTGGTTTGATAGAGACTAGTGGAACCCCCAAGACTATGGCTTTTAGACAGCCCTCAAGCTTGAAACATAACTCACCCCATGGCTCAGCTTTCAGCCAAACGACAGACAGGCCTATAAGGCAAACTATACCAGGAAGGTATATACTCAGAACAGTCAACCCTATGAGATTGAAAGGGCAGTATTTGCCCAGGATAAAGCTCAGAAGGCAAGAAGAGTCAGAAGGAAGGATGAAGGGAAATGGTAAACGTCGGGAGGAAATGGGAAGGTGCTATTACATTGTGGGGGTTGCATTGACCATCATAAAACAAAATGTGTGTGAATTGTTGAATGGAAACCCAATTTGCTCTGTAAACTTTCACTAAACCAATACATACATGTCACTAAAAATAAAATAGCACCAAAAGTCTGATAATGGCTTTTATGAACTATATAACCTGTCCTACCTGCCCCCCAACCTTGCATCATGTTTTCCATTTGGCAACCAGGCAGGTATTTTCAACATAAAAGCTGGCTGTGTTCTCCCCAGCCTAGAGCTGTATACTAATGTTGTTCTTAGAATAGATAGCTGTATCCTCAGCATGACCTGTAAGCCCCTGAATCATCTGCCCTTGACTGCCTTTCTGGCCTCATCTTACCCTTTTTCCACTCCTCGCTGAACTCTGTCCACACGTGACAAGACCTTTGCATGTGTTCTTTCCTCTGACTAGAGCTCTTCTCCCAATGTCTTCTCCTAGTTAACACCTACTAACCTTTAGATCTTGGCTTAAATGTCAGTCCTCAGAAACCTTCCCTGGCCCCCTCAAACTAGGTCAAGCTTCCTCCCTTTATAGTAACTGTAACCGTTATTTTGTTTTTGCTTGGTGATTACTCCTCTGTTTCCCCTACTAGAATGTAACCTCCATGAGGACCAAGACTGATCCTATTTTTGTTCAGTGTCTTTTATCCCAGCATATAGTAAATAAACAAATATTTATTAAATAAATGAATGAGGAGTAAATGGTAGGAGAATATAAACTACTCTGGAATGATTTCAGTTTGCTTAGGAAGGGATGAAAAAAGATAGGGAAGTAGCTAGAGGGACATAGAATTGGCATTGGAAGAGACTGGGACACTATGTCTTGAAGGGAAAGATACAGTAGAAAGGGAGTGAAATTCTGTGTCAGAACTTGAAGGTATCTTGAAACATATACATAACATTAGAGAAGATTTTATTAGATTCTGGTTAGTCTTCATGAGATTCTCAAAGGGATCCCTGTCCCCTAAAAGAAGGTCTATCCAAAGGGTATAAAATCCAACCATGGCATACAGGACTCTCTATCACCTAGCCTTTGCTGCTTTCCTAAATTTAGCTGTCCCCATTATCCCTCCACTCTGGCAACTTCCTTTCTTCTGTTGTGTGCTTTACTTTTGCTAAGTTACCACAGATTCCTGAATCATCCATGGCCTCTCATCCCTGTGTCTTTGCGTTAGAGTCCCTGTATATTTGCCCAGAATACCTTTGTCCTCTCTATCTTCCCGCTACTATTTTTTTTTTTTTTTAACTCTTCAAAACCCAAGGTTAGGTCTGCTTCTTATGTACTCCTGTGTTTCTGCCTTAACATTACATTCCATTATAGTCATCTGTTTCCTTATCTCTTTTCCAGTAGATTAAGAGGTTCTTACGTATAGAAATCATTATCTTTGTAGCTCCAGTGCTTGAAGACACTCAGTGATCCTTTATTAAGAAAGTTTGTGGGCAAATCAATGGATAGTAAAAAAAAAAAAAGCAAGTTGTGGATATGGTATCTGCTTAGCTACCTTCTAGCTTTGGAACTTTCCCCTTCTTCTGAGAACTTCAGTACGTAACTTCTTAAGTTTGAATTTGCTCACTTTCTTCCTAACTCCTTTTCTCCCTTCTCCTGTAGATATCTCCTTCTCATTTGTTTTTCTTCTATCTTGTTGCCGTTCTGTTCTTGCTGGGGGAACATTAATTTTTGGAATGTCTCTCTCTGATTCCTAGAGCTACTTGGGAAATGGTGTAGAGAAAAATTAGCCTTCAAGTTTTTTCAGTGTGTGTTTGTTTTTGTTTTGGGGTGGTTGTTGTTGCTTTAGCATGGCTCTGAATTTTCACCTTGTTTTGAGTTTGATTTTGCATTCTCTGAGTAAAATTAAATTTTTCTAATGCCTGCTGGCCAGAGAATCTCAATTGATCTACATTTGATCTTGGGAGGGCAGGGAGCTTTCAAATAAAGATGTTGAAAACTGTTTGGAATGGACAAAGTACATCTCCAGCAGGCAGACCTCAGTGTTGACCTATTTTCGGGAGATCAAATTGAAAAAGCTAAAGTATTACATTTGAAATATGCTTGGACTCAGGTCTGGATTCTTTGCAAACTGAGGTGCTTATTTTAAGCATGTATTGCTGCAATGGCCTCATTATGCATTTTGGGATCTTCATTTGGAATTTGATACTATTAGATCTTTTAGAGAGTTTCCTTACTTACTCATCAAGAGTCATTGCATGGTTAGTATGAAACCAAAGACCATCTTTCTTTCCTGACCTTGTGATATTTTCCCAGGGTGTAACCCTAACAGACCTCCAAGAGGCAGAAAGAACTTTCAGTCGGTCGAGGGCAGAACGGCAAGCTCAGGAGCAGCCTGGAGAAAAGCCTGTAGACACTGAGGGGCCTGAGGGCAGTGCGGAGAAGCATGAGCCCCCAGCAGTGCCCGCCAAGGAGGCTGGAGAGTGCCAACAGCCCCCAGCCGGGAGCCTGGATGAAGAGGTAAGCTTATTACTGCTGACATATACTGTCTAAAATCAGGTAATTGATGTGGGGGATCTCCCCCACTGATAATTCAAGCACTGTTTATTACTTTTTAGTTAGCAAACCTGTATGACTGAAAGAATTCAGAAGATATCAGTGTTTAAGGGACTTTCCCCCCACCACCACCCTCTAAGGGTCATAGTATAATAAAATACAAATGAAAATATAAGCATTTATTGAGTGCTTATGTTACGCTAAGGAGCTCTGGTGGTATATTGGTTAAGGTATTTGGCTGCTAACCAGAGGTCAGCAGTTCAGACCCACTAGCTGCTCTGTGGGAGAAAGATGAGGCAATCTACTTGCATAAAGATTTACAGCCTTGGAAACCCAATGGGGGTCGCTATGAGTCAGAAGCAACTTGATGGCAGTGGGTTTAGTTTTTCAGTTCTTATGTTATGGCAGGCAGTATTTTAAGTATTTCATATGTTAATTCATTTAATCCTCAAAATGCCCATATGAGGTAGATTGTTATTCCTATTTTATATATGAGGAAATTGAATTACAGAGAAGTTAGATAACTTATCCAAGATAATTTACAGCTAATCAAGCAAAGTTTGGAAAGTAGGCAGTGTGGAGAGTCTACAGCTTGAACTCCTAACCCCTAGTATGTTGCTTTTCCAAGCTCCTGCAAACCTAAGAGTTTACAAAACACCCCTCAATCCCATGCCACAAAGTGTCACTGTTGGAATGAATATTTTGACTCTCACTCCTCCATTTGTCAAGTGGAATTGGTAGGCAAAGCTGGAAGGTTATGTATTTAAGGTGAACATACCTCCTGGTTTACCTGAGAAGGTCTCAATTACACCTGTTGTTCTTTTTTTCTAATAATGAAAAATTTGTTTAATGAAAATATCTTGGAAATGTTCACAAGTTTTAACAACAGTAATGATTTTGATTGATCTTAAGTTTCATGTAAAATTTAAGAAAGGAATATACTATATAGCTACTGGTCACTTTTTTTTTTTTTTTTTTACTTTTATTGTGAAAACATACACAGACATTCACAAACATAACTTCCCCATTTACAGTTCAAGGACATTGATGACATTTGTCATGTTATGCCACCATTATTACTATCATTTTCCAAAATATTCCACCACTGTTAGCATAAACTCAGTGCCCTGCAAACAAAAGCTTCTCTTTTCCCCCTCCCTCCTACCCTTAGTAACTACAAATAATCTTTGCTTGGTGTGTGTGTGTGTGTGTGTGTGTGTGTGTTTGCCAACCTATCTAGGAATTTCCACCCCTCTCTCCTCTTCTCTCCTCTCCCTAGTGACCAAAAAAAAAAAAAAGGTTCCTTTCCATGTATAAACCTTTCTTTGACTTTTTACAATAGTGGACTAAGACAATATTTATTCTTCTGTGATTGACTTACTTCACTTAGCATAATGTTCTCCAAGTTCATCCACATTAAGCAGTGTTCAGTGTTTTGCAGATTCTACATTATTCTTTATTGTTGCACAGTATTCCATTGTGTGTATGTACCATAGTTTAGTTATCCATTCCTCTGTTAATGGGCACTTAGATTGTTTCCATGTCTTTGCTATTGTGAATAGTGCTGCAGTGAACATGAGTGTGCATGTGTCTGTTCATGTCCTGGCTTTCACTTCTTTAGGATATATACCCAGTAATGAGATTGCTGGATCAAATGGTATTTCTATTTCCAACTTTTTAAGGAATCACCATACCGATTTCCACAGTGGTTATATCATTTTACAGTCCCACCAGCAGTGTGTGAGAGCCCCAATCTCTTCACATCCTCACCAGCATTTGTTATTTTCTGTCTTGTTGAACTTTGCTATTAATGCTGGGGTGAGATGGTATCTCATGGTTGTTTCGATTTACATCTCTCTAATGGCTAATGATCGTGAACATTTCTTCATGTGTTTGTTGGTTGCCTGAGTACCTTCTTTGGTGAAGTGTCTGTTCATGTCTTCTGTCCATTTTTAACTGAATTGTTTGTCTTTTAGTTGCTGAGGTGTTGGCGTTTTCTATAAATTTTAGAGATCAATCCTTTGTCAGATACATCATTGCCGAGTATTTTTTTCCCAATCTGTAGGTGCTCTTTTACTCTTTTGGAGAAGTCTTTTGATGAACATAAGAACTTAATTTTTAGAAGGTCCCAATCATTTAGTTTATATTCTGCTGTTTGTGCATTTTAGGTCATGCTTGATAGTCTATTTATGCCACAAATTAAGCCCCCTAAGTTTGCTCCTGTTTTTTCTTTGATGAACTTTATAGTTTTAGGTTTCACATTTAAGTCTTTGATCCATCTGGAGTTAGTTTTTGTGTATGGTGTGAGGTGTGGATCTTGTTTCATTTTTCTGCAAATGGATAACCGGTTTTGCCAGCACTATTTGTTAAAGAGACTATCTCTTCCACATTTAATGGATTTTAGCCCTTTGTCAAAGATCAGCTGACCATAGGTGGATAGATCTATTTTGGGGTTCTCAATTCTGTTCCACTGGTCTGTGTCTGTCGTTGTAACAATACCAGGCTGTTTTGACTACTGTGGCTGTATGTTGTTGTTATGTGCTGTGGAATCAGACCCGACACATAGCGCCCTCTCCTTGGGTTTCTGAGGTGGTTATCACTATGGAAGTAGATTGCCCAACTTTCCTTCCAAGGATTGGGTGGTGGGTTTTAACCGCCAGCCTTCTGGTTAGCAGTCAAGTGCCTTAGGCACGAGCTGTATGTTGTTGTTGTTGTTGTTGTTGTTTGCCATCAAGTCGGCCCTGACTCATAGCGACCCCTCCTTGGGTTTCCGAGGCAGTATCACTACGGAAGTAGGATTGCCCAACCTTCCTTC